CTCTCTCTCTCTCTCTCTCTCTCTCTCTCTCTCTCTCTCTCTCTCTCTCTCTCTCTCTCTCTCTCTCTCTCTCTCTCTCTCTCTCTCCCTCCTCCCTCCCTCCCTCCCTCCCCCTCCTCTCTCTCTGATTATCTCTTCTCTCTCTCTCTCTCTCTTTGATTATCTCTTCTTTCTCTCTCTCTCTTTTTTTGCCCTACGTATGTCTCACTCTCTTCACCGCGAGGGCGCGCGGAAAAACCACACGAAGGGCGTGAACGCGCCGAAAAGGAGTCCTGTAATAGCACGGCCCCTATTACGTCCTTCCCCGAGTGCCGAAAAGATTGGAGTACTCGTGCCACGACAATGACTCTCTTTTTCCCCCCTTTAAGATCAACCGATGAAGTCAGGCGCACCGTTCTCCTCTCGTCTATTGTTAATTTATCGAGTCCCGGTAAATGCCCGGTCTGTTCGCGAGAATACTACGTCCGTTCATTTTATCAGTATCAAGTTATTCATTTTCTTTCTTTCGAAATCCGAATAAACTACCTTATTTTCAAGATAGAAGGGGATGTAAGAAAATTCAGTTAGGGTAAACTTGGGTTACCTCAACGGGACACTATACCCTTTATCGTCGACGACGACGACGACGACGACGATGACGACGACGATGACGACAATGACGAAGAGATGCGCGCACACCAGTATGATCGATTCGATACAGACCAGGAAGCGAAAATTACAGCTCGAATCATTTATGCGTGCATCACAAACTCCCCGTATAATGATTTACGGTAATCGCAAGAATTGCCAATTTTTCGTAATATACTCCTTAATCGGACACGGTTGTTGAACTCGAGAAGTATATTGAAGGCCCTGCTCGAAGAATATGATTATCAAGCGATATGGTAACGCCGAAGACCGGCTCGTAAGCAAATTTGTTGGCAGTATCACGATAAACATACACGAATGGTATTTGTATTATCTTGGAATTACCTTCGAAACTATGACGTCGGTCATAAAAGTCTTCCATTTGATTTATGCATATTCATATATTAAAAAACGAACTCAAAAATTATACAAAAGATATAATCATCATCTGTGTTAAATGCTATAATTCCCAAGATAACGTTCATATGCATGACACGACAACATTGGTTTAATATCAAGCTTAATAATGTCATTACATCAACGTATTTGCGACATGTGATAATTGCTGTTTAAAAATATCTGTATGAAATCTATATTTTAAATTTATAATTTAGTCCTTAAATATTAAACATATTTTATAACTTTACTAACAATGTCGAACTAAACTGTTATTAAGATACGTAGAATATAAATATAGATAATTTTTATGCTATAATAAAATATATCAATTACATCTCTTCTTCGTATCTAATCATCACTTTTACTAATAATGTTATTTATAAAATTATTGTTATTATTATTGTAGAATACAAATATCAATAACTTATCCTATAGTAAAATGGTATATCGATTACGTAATCCTTTCTTGTATCTAATCATCACCAATTGAAACCAATCGACAAAATCAATAGATCTTCATTGTCACAAGCTTTATTCTCATTCCGATCCTGCACGAGAGCCTCGTTATCTCGTCGCGAAATGACACTCGAATCGGTGACCTAGGCCAACAGAATCGCGCGCGAGGTGCAACAACACCACGACCACGACGACGACGACGACGACGACGACGACGATGGCGACGGCGACAATGACAAATTCGTTAGGACAAGAGAGAGAGAGAGACCGAAAGGGAAGAACACTCGTTAAGCCGTACGTTATCGGTCGCACATATCGTGAAATAAAAAATTCAGACGTCGCTGTCCAGGGAGGCCCGTCGAAATTACGTTGCGAGACCAGAAAGCGCGGGGACCACAAGGGGAGGGACGAGGAGGGGAGGAGGGAGGGCGCGACACAATCGCTGCATTATGGGCGCCGCGGCTGCCAAAAGGCTGGCCGAGTTCAACGACCTCCCGATGCACTCCGAAACTCCTTTCCTTCCGCTCCTTCGCCCTCCCTCCCTTCCTCCCTCCCTCCCTCCACGAGGCCGCCGATCGATAAAGCCTGACCGTGAAAACGCGACGAATGTGCACGCGGCGACGTCCAGTCGATTTTCAGGGCCCCCCTCTCTGGTTCCAATCTCTCTCTCTCTTTCTCTCTTCCCTCGTTCTCTACTCCGTCCTGCGTCGCTTTAAACCACACCACTGGTGATCCTCGTCCTGCGCATAGGTCCACCGCGTCAGATCCCTCTCTCTGTCCTATCACGATCCTCTTT